ACTGATGACAAATTTTTGACACTTGTCACATTGAAAACTACGACGTTGTCCTTATCCCTTTTCTATTGCTCTCTTTGATGATAAGACTATAACTTTTCTCGCAGGTTGTACCTCTTATTGAAAAACTTCAGGAGTTCTCCAAGCTCGAATCTCTGAGTGCAGAAATGAAAGTGGAAGTAGATAGCTTTCTTGTGTCCTTGAAGGAGATTCCAAAAGCCCCTTGGGATGAGGGAGTCTGTAAAGTGTGTGGCATTGATAAAGATGATGACAGTGTCCTTCTATGTGATACATGTGATGCTGAGTATCATACATATTGTTTGAATCCTCCTCTTGCCAGGATTCCAGAAGGGAACTGGTACTGTCCCTCTTGTGTAATGGGAACACGTATGATTGATGATCCATCTGAGCATACCAAGAACTACATTTTTAACCTGCACAAAGGCAAAAAATTCGGAGGAGAAGTTACTCGTGATTTTCTGGATAAACTTGCCAATCTAGCAGCTGCACTGGAAGAGAAGGAGTATTGGGAATTCAGTGTGGACGAGGTTTGTTATTTGCCGAGTCTTGGATTATTTCTCATTATGTGTGTGGACATGGGCTTGTAATTTTCCTCCTACATTATTTTATTGATTCTTGCTAATTATGAACAGTGTTTTCTTGTGCACTTCTATTGAAATTACAAAGGTTCTAATGCATGCGGACATTTTTACTTTGCTTCAATTCAATGTCCACACAAGTTTATGGAATAATCAGATGGGTAGTTTTCAGTTCATGGCTCATTAACTTGAGGATATATTTCTTCTGGGTGCAGAGATTATTCTTGCTCAAATATCTATGTGATGAGTTGGTTAGCTCTTCCTTAATTCGACAACATCTTGAGCAGTGTGTAGAGGCATCAGCAGAGTTGCAGCAAAAGTTACGTTCGTGTTTTGTAGAGTGGAAAAATCTCAAGTCAAGGGAAGAAGTTGTGGCAGCGAAAGCTGCAAAGCTTGATACAACTATGCATAGTGCAGTTCGAGAAGGTAGGATAAAGGATGGGCCAGCTAGCATGCCTGCTAATTACATTAAATTTCTTCACTCCAGAATTTTTTTTGGATTGGTCTAATCATTTTAATCTGTTATCTGATGATGTTTCAGGACAGGGTAGTTGTGATGGAGCTAGGCTTGGTGTTCCTGATCAATGTTCATCTCTAACAAGCTTAGAGAATAAGTGTCTCAACCATGCAGGTTTTCAAGAGCAAACGAACAGTGGCCATGATGTTATTGATAACAATGATGTAGGTGGCAACATTCTATCCAATTCATGTTCTCAGATCAGTGGCAAACCCATAAAACCCTATGAGCCACCATTGTCCAGTACTTTGCCACAAGAAGGTGATGGTTCTGACCCAAGTAATATGGAGGCTGAAATTGCTATTCTACCATCCACAAAGCAAGATTGCACACCTTCTGATGCGAATGGATGGTCGGTAGCTTCACATGTTCCACCTTCTAATGAATCACAAGCCTATCATAATGAGTTGGGTAGTATTAAGGACATATCACAGCTACAGGATTCCATTGCAAGTATAGAGTTAGAGCTTCTAAAGGTATCGGTACGGAGGGAGTTCTTGGGTAGCGACTCTGCTGGACGATTGTATTGGGCTACTGTCATGTCAAATGGGCAGCCGCAAATCATTGCTAGTGGGAGTTTGGTACAGATTGGAAGTGAATCTAGAGACCATGTTGGTAAGGGTGGTGTGTTTAAGAATTTTACTTCAACAAGCAGTGGTCAATGTTCAAACTTTGATGGGTCAAACATATATTCGTCATTGCTTCATCTGCGAAAGGATTCTATTGTAAATTCCCCATGGGTTTCTTATCAAACAGAGGCTGGCATACTAGAACTCATTGATTGGCTGAATGATAATGATCCCAAAGAAAGGGAGTTAAAGGAGTCTATTTTACAATGGCACAAACCTAGACTTCAAATGCCTTCACGATCCATTAATCGAAGTCCTGAAGAACAGTTAAAGGATTCATCATCAAGCTCGGATGGTGAAAAACTCGAATGTTCTAGTTTTCTTGTTACCAGGGCATCTGCTATATTGGAAAGTAAGTATGGTCCCTTCCTTGAGTTTGAAAATCCAGACAACTTAAATAGATGGCCAGACGAGACCAGGCTAGCTGAAGGTGAGAAAATGTTCAGGTGTGTATGCTTGGAACCTGTCTGGTCATCTAGGTACCATTGTCTCTCTTGTCATAAAAGCTTTCTAACTGATGTTGAACTTAAGGAGCATGACGATGGAAAGTGTAGTTTACACACTGCCTCATGTGATGGTGTCCAGGAAGCTGGCAACTCTTTAAAAAGTAAAGGCAATATGAAATTTGAGAGCAATTGGGAGGGGAGCTCGAGTATGACCATATCAGAAACTTCTAAGAGAGGGTATTTTAACCATAGCACGGGGTTAATTAAATTTCAGGATGATGGTATGATGTGCCCATATGACTTTGAACTAATCTGTTCTAAGTTTTTGACAAAGGATTCAAACAAGGATGCTATTAAGGAGATTGGACTTATTAGTTTGAATGGGGTTCCTTCATTTGTATCATCTGTGTCACCATATATTATGGAATCAACATTAAGTGCAATTGATCTCAAGAAAGATTCTGGTTCTCCTGAAGATGGGACCTTGCTTTCTGAAAGACTGGCTTCACTAGGAAATGTTGGTCTGGAAAATGGTTGCCTTCAAAATTCTTCTACGGATAATGCAAATCAAAGGGCTGCTGGAAATGAAATCAGTGCATTGAAAACGGAAAGACTAGCATTAGGATGCCCCGAACCAAAAAGTAAAAAAGTTTGCGTGGATAACCGTTTTTCAGAGTTTGGGATTGGTAGATTCTATATCATCCCACACTCATCCCGTAGGCCATTAATTGGCAGAATATTGCAAGTTGTAAGAGGGCTGAAAATGAATTTGCTTGACATGGATGCTGCACTTCCTGATGAAGCTCTAAGACCTTCAAAGTTACATATTGAAAGGAGATGGGCCTGGCGTGCATTTGTGAAATCTGCTGGAACAATTTTTGAGGTTAGCATTCCCTAATTCAATTACTAAGTTTGGGTACTTCAAATATCATTATGTGATTTGTGGATCATGATTTTTGTTGCACGTGCTTCTATTTCTTACTATATTGTCCTCATAGTTGTGATGCATCATCATCATATTAATTTGCGAGACATTTTGGTTAAGTTTGAAGCAATGAGTATCGTCTTGGTTCTTGAATTTCGTGTGGGGGCGCTAAATACTTTATTCATTTCTCCAGATAGTACAAGCAACAATTGCATTAGAGGACATGATAAGAACAGAATACTTGAAGAATGAATGGTGGTACTGGTCGTCTCTCTCTGCTGCTGCCAAAATTTCCACCGTAACTTCTCTTGCACTCCGCATATTCTCTCTTGATGCAGCTATTATATACGAGAAGATATTGCCTAATCAAGAACCAAATGACTATTTGGACCCAAACAATATTCCAGAACAGAAGCTGGCTGGTGTGGATTTAACAGAAAGGCCCAGGGCAAGCAGCCGGAGATCTGGCAAGAAAAGAAAGGAACCAGAGGGTCAATAATCTAGGACTCATGATTTAGCTCCTGACAAACTCAATCCACAGGTTGATGCCAGTGGTTATGGTGGTGGTAGAGGTCTTGTATTTAGAAGACAACTACCTTCAATTCGTTCTCTATGGTTTATACCGCGCCATTGCTCCTCGATAAATTTGGAGTTCTTTTTGAACTCGCTGCTGCAACCATTGCGCCCCTGCTGCTGACAGATCGATTGTACATAGACATAACTCAACTAACTGGGATACGCTGTTCAGAATCCATAAAGTATAAGTGCTTTGTTCATAAAGACTGCTCGAGGCTCCAACTCTAATCGATAATATGGCCCCTTGGCGCAATTTTGGACTGAACTGCTGGAGTTTTTTTTAATAAATGATGTCTATTCTTGAAGAGAGGCCCATTTAGAAGGATGCCATCCTTAAAGAGCAAGATCCATTCACTTTATGTATAAATAGAAAAGGAGAAGGGAATTCTAGAACAAGATTCGAAGCTCAGTTGTATATCTAATTCTTTACATTTCTTTCCCAGCCCTCTGTCCATATTTTTTTCTTTGCCATTTATTTTCATCCCTACCAGGTACTTGAGACGTCTGACCATCATTCACCGAATGGGAGGAAAACTCGTACTGTTTTAACCCGTCTGCAAATAGCTTGCATAGTCGTAACTAAGTTCTCATACTCGAATCTAGGTTCTGCAGCTGTTGCCATTGAAGGTATCAGTATCAACATTGGTTAAATTTGACCTTTCTTCTAGAGGTGTCTTGTCTTCCTAGGTGCTTGTCGTGCAATGACTTGTTTGAGGCCTTCCTCAATCATTGTAATAGATTGGTAAGTAAGTAGTATGGCCTGATTTAAATAGTCTTGAATATTTGTACTTATAGCTATATCAAAGGTAGTTTCACAGCTTTTTCGATCTCTGGTTGTTTTCGAGTATCCAATTTCCTTCGACCTTTTAAGAATTCACTTGGTATGGTTGCTCACGACTCTTGGATGTTTCGAGTATCTGGTGTATCATTGTTATTATCTGTGATGGTTACTAACCCTCTTGTTGTCAGGAATTCAGTCGTTCTTGTCATTACACGCAAATTGGAATGATCGTAGTGTAACGTTCGTCCCAATATTTGCTAGGTTTTTTGCATAGCACTTCAAAAATATGCTTGGTTTTCACCGACTTCAATCTAAGGTAAAGGTGTATCCTTGTAATGTTTTAAGAGTTTTTAGTTCTTGAAATACTTATTCAAATACTTTTAGATGTGATGTTTTCTTCGGGTTCTCAAACGAACTGTTTGAATGATAAGGTTATATTTTCTTTGAACTTGCTTTTAAAACTCCAAAGATTCTCTCCAATAAACGTTATGCCATGCATGTAGTGACGAGCCTAAAGTGAGTCTCTGGTCGGATCGTTACAACAACTTTCAATTTCTATTTCATGATGAATTGAAAACACAGGCATCCAGAGTATCTATACGTCTATGACATTTTAGTGTCAAGTAGACGTTTCTACCTAAACTTTATTCATTACAAACAAGTAAATATGAACTTTCAAACATTTTGTATAAGCATCATCAAGCTGTAACAAGTTGAAGAACATTCAATCCTAAGGCCATGCCCACCAAGCTGGAGGCCCCCCCTCCTGGTTCTGTTGGTTTGTTTCTGCAAACATATCTGAGAACAAGTAATTGCTATTATAATTCCTGTCATCATGTTCCATTTGCAGCCCAGGAGGTAGAGGATACTCATTACTCGGGAAGTAAGAATCGCCACTGTCGATGAGTTGTAGACAATTATCGTCAATCACTGCACTGCTATCGCTCCCTGAACTTAGACGATCTTCAGCCTTTCTCCCGGAGCCACCGGAGTGTGGGGCAGAGACGTGGGCAGTGTCTGCTCGAAGAGGCTCCGAAGTCGTACATGGAATTGGTGCTTCTCCTCCATCAAGCTCTTTAGCTACACATTTCTCAGTCAAGGAAGCCACCTGAAAGTACTATAGTTTATTATGCACATCCTTGAATTTGCTGTTCTGTTTCTGAACTCTCTATATTGATATTTTTTTTTTCATCTTACCTCAGATTTAAGCACCGCATTCTCTTTGACAATGGAGTCATAGTTTGACATAAGCAAATCATATGAAGCTTTAAGAACATCATAGTCCCTTTCGAGTTGCTTCGTCTTCCACCGGGCACGGCGGTTCTGGAACCACACGGCCACCTGCCTTGGCTGCAGCCCCAGCTTCTTGGCTAGTTGGGACTTCCTCTCTGGCTCCAGTTTGTTCTCTTCCTCAAAACTCTTCTCCAGCATTTGAACCTTCACAACAGTTTTCCACAACTTCAATTTTAGTCCACACAAAGAGTGAGACATAGCAACAAGTGATAAAGGCGAACGTAAAAAAACCTGCTCATTGGCCAAACGGCGCTTCTTCTCGGGGTAAAGCTCGTCGTAATATTCATCGTCGTAAAGATCATCAGGGGATCTGAAAAACGGTCTCCCCTTTGAACTCTCTTGCATGCTCATGTTCATGCTCATGCTCATCATTGTTCTTCCTTCTTAATTGTTCATCATAAAATTAGAAAAAGAAATCAATTTTATTTAATTTTTGAGGGAAAATCCATAAAAAAAGGACAGTAAATTCCAATCCAGCATCTATATAAACATGAATTCCTTCCCAAAAATCATAATTTTGAACATAAAAGTCCTAGCCTTTTTTTTTTCCCAATGAATTTCTGAAGAGGAGCTTCTAGGTCAAACACTCCTTTGCAAAATTTATGAATTTTTATTTAAAAAAATGTACACCACTTGTTAATTAATAATAAAGAATAGAGTTTTTTAATGGATAAATTTAATTTTTTTCAAAAATTTGGGTGAAAATTATTTAAGCCAAATTTATTTAAAATTTTGACATTATTTAAAACAAAATATTTTTTTTTCATCTATCTAATGAACAAAAGTGATAAAATTTTGATATAATAATAAGAATCATTTAAAAGACGTTATATATTCAATTATAAATTTAGGGTCAGTAATTTAAAAGATGTTTAATGAGACGTTTTAAATATCAAATTAGGATTTATGAAAAATATTTTAAAGTTTATATATATATATATAAAGTGAGGAAATGGGTCTTCTAAAATAAAAACTTCAAAAAAATAAAAAATAAGTCGGGAGAGAAATTGACCTCGCAGAAAACGATCGCCACCACCGGCCCCGCCAAGGCAAAGCATGTTGCCGCCGCAAGCCGGGGGATTGAACAAGAACCGGCCGGATTCCATTCAAATTTCGTCCAATTCCGGCGGTGTAGAAGTGGAAGTTGTATGGAATTTGAAATTTGATGATTTAGTACTAACCTAAATGTTAAACACAAACAGAACAGTAATCTCGAAACAAGGAAGAACAAAGATTATCACGATCGCTTATGGCGGAAGAAGCTGGTAGTCCAGAGTAACCTAGCGGAAATCTCTAACTGAATCGCGAAAAATCCCACCATGCCTTCTAATTTTCAATTCCTTTTTCACAGATTCTGATGACGATCGTAATCGGAGATAGGAGAGTTCCGATGAAAGGAGATTAAATCGGAAAGAGGAAACAGAGGCGGCCGGAGATTCGAGTTCCGGCGAGACGAGACGACGGCGCGACTCCGTTCTTTTCCCCCAATCGATCGCTTTCCAGGTGCTTTCTCGCTACCTAAAAGTTGAATTTAAGAGCTTCAACACCTATTTATATCAAGGGATCATTGAAATTACCAAAATGCCCCGACCTTTGTTCACACCATAGTGTTACGATATAATTATACATACATATATTTATTTTCTTTTTATTTAATTTAATGATTATTTCTTTTATTAATATTTATTCCATTTTTAATTTTTTTTGGAAGTAATTTCCGTAAATAGATATTTTACAAATAAATATTTTATTTTTATAAAAAAATAAAAAAAATTTAAGTAAAAAACTTACCTTGATCTGGGTTGGGTTCGGTTTGAATTAAAAATTTTATAACGAACCTATGGGTTAGGTTTAAAAAAATGGTTCAGTCCGATCAAACTCAGAACACTTTTAAATTTACAAATTATTTATTTATTTATTTATTTTTATAAATTAAATTTTTATTGGTTATGTTAAGCCATCACCAATGAGGAGGGATAAAAATAAAAAATCGAATATATAAGAAATGGACGCTTCATTTTTATTTTAAAATATGTTTTCTTTTTGGACAGTTGACTTTACAAAAAAGATTTGATCTAGGCCGTTGGATAGGAAATAGTTAATGGGATTGCAACACGTGGCTCGTGGTACTGAGCTTCCATGTCACAGTGTCGGATCTGAAAAAAGTCAAAACAATAAAGTACTAGAGATGTACGGTTCAGATTGCGCTACGTGGCATAGAGAGATTCTTTAAAAAATTTATTTTATAAGAAAATTTATTATGGTGTTATTATTTTAAAATTTAATAATCGATTTAAGGTTTTATTCGGGGAAGGTTCATATGGATAGCTATGTCATAAAATTAAAATAAATAAATAAATAAATAAGAAGTCATATTCCAAGTGCTATTAAAATATTATTTAAATACCAAATATTATTTTAAAATATCATTGCTTTGTCTAAACAACTAATTAAAATCTATTTTTCCATAAATTATTTGCAATTTTTGTTTTTAAAAATTGTAATTACATGTCTTTTTATTTTTTGAGAAACAAATAATATATATCAAATTTTTACCGATTATATTTAGGGTTCTTCAGGTTGAACGAAAATTTACCGTCGAATATAAAAGAGAGCTTGATTTTAAGACATTTTCATTTAGAAACGTTGGAATTTGACCTTTATAGCTATTCGAAATGGCTAAATGGTTGATAAAACGAGCATTTTATTAAATTGATAACATCTCAATCTCGGTTATTTTCCACGTAAAGCTACGACGGGTAATAAAAACCATAGTATATATTCATAAAATTATGTTTTTTAAAATTAGATTATAGTATTTAGTTTAATACTTATATAATGTGATAAATTTATATGAGCCCCAGTTCGAGTGTGAGATCCCATATCGGTTAGAGAGAAGAATGAAACATTCCTTATAATAGCTTGGAAACTTTTCCTTAATAGACTCGTTTTAAAACGTGAGGCTGATGATGATAGTTAACGGGTCAAAGTGGACAATATCTAGCCGTGGGTTTGAGATGTTACAATATGAAAGTCGGGATTCCATATAAATTTTGTTGAAAAACAAGACCCTTAAAGACAATAACGAATCAATTCAAAGGAAAATTTTGGAACGGATTACCTTGATGATCAAGATTAATAGTAAAGAAAACTCATTTCTAAACTCATAATTTGAACTACGCCACAAGATAGCTTGATGAAGACTACTATTTTGTTATCTATTTTTTTTACATGGCAAAGTTTTGAAAATTAAGAAAGAAAAAAAATTTAAAGCTCGTTTTTGTTTTTAAACTCATTTTTCTCGATAAATAAATAAACTTTTAAAAGATCAAATAGTTATCGGATCGAGATTTTAAGGATCAAATCGACCATTGTTGAATAATATTTATAAAAAGGGAATTTTGTCTCCCATTTAGAAGTAAGAATCTACTTTAATTTCATCACATGGACTTAGCATTATTGAAAATTGATTTGCTTCAAAAGTGCCATTTCTTATGCTTCAAAACATATTCATGTGAGCCACATGGTTAAGGTCTAAAATCTTGTTGCTCGGGTTTGAGCCTTCGATTCTAAGGAGTGTAGAAAAATTTTGATGTAATAACCTAAACCCATCGCTAGGAGATATTATACGTTTTTGTCTGTTACGTATCGACGTTTGCCTCATGATTTTAAAACACGTTTGTTAGGAAGAGGTTTTCATATCACGAATGCGATGTCACAATCCATCTCTCTTAGGTACCCAGCATCCTCAACGGCATACTACTTGGTGTCTAACTCTGATACCATTTGTAACAACTCAAGTCCGCCTGTTTTGGCCCCATACGTATCACTATCACCCTCACGGTTTTAAAACGTGTCTGTTAGGGAGAGGTTTCCACACTCTAATAAGGGATGTTTTGTTCTCCTCTTCAACTAATGTAAAATCTCACAATCCACCTCTCTTAGAGACCCAGCTTCCTCGTTGTCACACCGCTCAGTCTCTAGCTCTAATACCATTTATAATGGCCCAAGCCCACTGCTAAAAAATATTGTCTACTTTAGCCCGTTAGCCTCACGGTAGTCTTATAAGTATCACCATTAGCCTCACGATTTTAGAGCACGTCTGTTAGGGAGAAAATTTCCACACTCATAAAAAGTATTCCGTTCCCCTCTTCAACCCATATGGGATCTCACATTTAATCATTGAACTATGCTCATGTTCGATATCAAATAATACTCTTTTTTGTCAATATGGAAATTACTCATTAAGAAATTAATATAAAAATATATATTTTTCTCCCAAGTCCTCAGGTGGGTTGGTGATAAAATATTTAATAAATTAATATTAAAAATATATTTATGAATTAATATTAATATTAGGTGGCAGTTCATACATCATATTTGATAATTTTTTTTATTTAAAAAAAAAATAGGGTTTTATTGCTACAAGTAACCAACTAAGTTTGGGAGTAGAAATCTGACTTTTGTGAATTAATTTTAAATTATTTTGCCCATATTTAATACTTCTTTAATTTTGTCACATTATTTAATTTCTCCTTCTTTTTTTTTTATTATTATTTTTTTAAAAGATAGATAAAATTCGTGTTCGTAATACATCGGTCGATAAATTAAAACAATGATATCAGTCGAATGATACTTTAAAATAAAAATTTTAAAAAGTTCCGAGATTGACAAATGAAAGAAAAGGATTAAGACGTTAAAAGATCGGGAGAAAACGTTGAGTTATAAGTCGAAACATACGAGAGAACAGAAATAAAAGATGTGATTTATGATGTGCACGTAAATGGTTTCCGTCCATATTTATAAAATAAAAAAATAAAAAAATAAAAAAATCAAGGGTTTTAATACTCCTATTGAATGTTAAAATCTGGTATGAACGGTATTATCCGTCAATATGAGTATTTTTGTAACGTCCCTAATATTATCAAAGATAGACAGAAATTTAAATAAATAAAAATAAACCCTAAATAATAATAAATGAATATATTAAATTTGACTTTAATTATGATTGCAAAATAAATAAATAAAATTATACTTAATTTAACACAAAAGAATGATTATACATACGTTGTGTGTGTATATATATAATATATATATATGTTACGTCAATGGGCCAAACGTGTGTGGGCCTTGAGTTGGGCCCTAACCATGGTTTATGGTCACAAATTAAAGTTGGGCCTAGAAATTGGGCTTTGAGCTACAATCCACTATTTTGTTTTATTTATTTATTTATTTATTTATTAGAGTTATTTAATATAATGATTGATGATGTAATTGTAATTATCCATCTTTAACTTAGTTTTAGACTATTAAATAGCTTAATTAGTATTATATGCCACTAAATATTTAAACCTACGTGTCAAAAACGAAAAAATGAGAACGAGACGTGAATGAGATAGAACTGTACCGAAAGTTTGTTTTAATATTTTCTGAATTGATATTATATTCAACTAATAGAATGAAGATTCAAACCCACGTGTCGAAAAACGAAAAAAATGAGAACGAGACGTGAATGACGGAATTGAACCGAAAGTTTGCTTTAATTTTTCCCCGAACTGATATTATATTCAACTAATAGAATGAAAATTCATACCCACAAGTTTGCTTTAATTTTTCCCCGAACTGATATTATATTCAACTAATAGAATGAAAATTCATACCCACGAGTCGAAAAACGAAAAAAATGAGAACGGGACGTGAATGACGGAACTAAATCGAAAGTTTTGTTTTAATTTTTTCCCGAACTGATATTATATTCAACTAATAAAATGAAGATTCAAACCCACGTGCCGAAAAACGAAAAAAAATGAGAACGAGACGTGAATGACGGAATTGAACCGAAAGTTTGCTTCAATTTTTCCCCGAACTGATATTATATTCAACTAATAGAATGAAAATTCATACCCACGAGTCGAAAAAAATTTTTCCCCGAACTGATATTATATTCAACTAATAGAATGAAAATTCATACCCACGAGTCGAAAAACGAAAAAAATGAGAACGGGACGTGAATGACGGAACTAAATCGAAAGTTTGTTTTAATTTTTTCCTGAACTAATATTATATTCAACTAATAAAATGAAGATTCAAACCCACGTGCCGAAAAACTTAAAAAATAAGAACGAGACGTGAATGACGGAACTGAATCGAAAGTTTGCTTTAATTTTTTCTCGAACTGATGTTATATTTAACTAATAGAATGAATATTTAAACCTACGTATCAAAAACGAAAAAAATGAGAACGAAGCGTGAATAATAGAATTGAACTGAAAGTTTGTTTTAATTTGTTTGCAAATTAGAATTAAATTGAAGATTAAAACGTACGTATTAAAACAGAAGTGTTCGTTTCAAAATTACTTGCGCATCTCCTCTCACCCTTATGGCATGTTTTTCTTTTCCATTTTTTCTTATACAAATTCTAAATCTCCCATTTTCGTTTACGTGTCGGATTAGGTTAAGTTAAGAGGCTTGTTGCCTATCAAACTACTTACGGTTTAATTAAGTTTAGACATTTTTTATGAAACCCGAGTCCGAATTGTGATGGTTGGTTTGACAATATTTGAACTATTCACTTTTACGATAATAATCGATGTCTTCTCGACTTTAACTTATCGTATACACAAATTGAACAACGATCATCATTCGTGAATTTTAATTTTTAGTTCATTATGTTTAGCGTAAAAAGATTAAAGTGGCTCTCAAAAGATAATGTTTTAGCTTCGACAGTAATTATAGTCGGGATAAACAAGCACGAGCTTCCATTTTGAGATAATATTTATCATATTATATATTTAAATATATGATAAGATATAATATTTTCAATTTAAATTTTAAATATATATTTTTATTTAATAATTTTTACATACATAAATTATTTTAATATTTAAAGTATCAAATACAATCAATATAATTTTCTTTTCATATCTAATATATTACGGTTAATCATTCAAATTAAATATAAATTTTTCTTTTTATTTTTATATACTAAATATTATTTTCAATCTTTTAAATTAAATTTATTTTTTTAAATATAATATATTCAATATTTATTTAACTTTTTTTTCCAACTTATTAATATAGTGTTAATACGCTAAATATACACATTAATTAATTAATCAAATTTTGTAGAGATCTATTTAACTTATAGTGTTCGGCCCTATAAAAATTCATCCGGAACAGAATCTTGATTTAAATGGAGAATAGGAAATGGGAGAACGAGTCGAGAGGAATTTCTTCCCATTAACTAAATGAGAACATAGATTATAAATCTCATTTCGTCACCGCCCCAATCCCTCCAAATTGCTTGCCTCCCGTTCACTTCTTAATATATATATATCAAAATTAAAATTAAAAAATAACTTTTTAAATATAATACTAGAAAATGGAAATTATTCATTAAAATTTTAATATAATTTTTAAAAATATATATAAAAAGATGAGCAAAAAAAAATTTTAAGAACTCGAGCCCGACAAAATTAAATTAAAATTTCACGAGATGAAAATTAAAATAGAAACGAGGAGTAGAGGCAAGACAAGGAAGGCTTCCATATCCTCACCATGTGAACGTTCCTAGTCACTTTGGGATCGACATAGAGTTTACAGTTGTATTCTTTGTAAAATTTATTAGGAGCAAATCGTTAATTATGGAGTATTCCATTTGTTAATGGAATATTTGATGAATTTTCTATTTAATTAATTTCTAAAAAAAAAAAAACATTAATAAATGGGGGCAAATCTGGAAAATAAGTTGAATTCTGTTTCATATATGTTAACATTATCGACGTGTCATTTATTTTAGTTCCCAAATCAGTTTCTTATTTTTAATGACATGCCAATTTTAGCCTTAGATTATTAAAATATATGACTAAATTGTCTACTAACCTCTTTTATTTTTTATTTTTAAAAAAAATTATTTCGATCATTATATTTATTTATTTATTTTTATCTATTTATAAGAATTTAACTTGAATTTTTTCCCCTCTTTTTGAGTGAAACTTTGAAATTGTTTATAACTATTGTATTTTTATTTAGGTTTTTTAAAATACAATTTCTAAATATTAAAAACTAAAATTATAAGTGAAATTATTTATAATAAAAAAAAGCTTTTTTAAAAAAAAAAAAAATATATATATATATATATATATATATTTAAATTTTTCGTTTTTTAATTTGACTTTGATTTTTTTTTATTTATTTAGGAAACTTTAAACTTATTTATATTAATTGCTTTTGATATGATTTTTAAAATTTTAAAATAAAATTAGGTTAGGATTTAAAAAATATTTTTATAACTAAATTAGAGAAAAAAGGTTAGCAAATAATCTAAACTTACAAAAAAAAAAATTATTTAATTTGTAATTCTAGACATTTTTTGTAATTTTACTGATTTTCAAATTAAAGAGTATATTTATTATTTTATTTTATAATTATATCTCATTCTATTTAATCTAAGATTTTAATATTTAAATTATCGTAAATTATTCGAATGGAAAATGGAAACAAAAAATATTATCCAATAAATATTACTAATTAGATTATCATATCTTTATATCTAATTAAAAACATACTAGTTTTAATATATCTAAATAAAAATTTTAAATAATATATTATAACAAAAAAATCAACTAAAAAATAATAATAATCAATGCCAAATTTGGAAATAGTATTTAATTTGATTTGAAAATTTGATAAACTAAATCAACAAATTTCATAAACTTAAAATTTATTTCGTAAAAAAAATACAAAATTTATTATTTTATTTGATTTGTTGTTTAAAAAATATCCATATATTCTTTTAAAATTACAATATTACCCTTGACATTTTTTAATTGTAGTCCAGTAGAAAATTTTAATAGACAGAAAATCAACCAAACAAACTATATTTTATGGCGAAATTTTACAAAAAAAAATATTAAAAAAGGCTTTAGTTTTTTTATTAATGTTAAAATAATATTATTTAAGAAAAAAAAAAGTAAATGGCAAAATAGTAAATAAGGAAGAATGAGAGGCGTAATTACGTAAAGATAGAATCTCAACAAAATCCATGCACGAAAATTCAATGAAAAAAGAGAGAGAAAATGGAAACTAAAAAATAATTTTAAAAAAAAAATCGAAATTAAATCATTCGAAAATCCGTCAGAGGCACTGTCGCGACTGTGCTTAAATATCTCTAACTGTCACAGAACTCAAAACATCTCTCCCTCTTTCTCTCTTAAACTCTCTGCAAAACCTCTCTCTCTTGAACTCTCTGCAATTTCTCTTCGCTTCTTCAAGCTTCTCCCAAAATGCTTTCCGCTACTCAAGCTCGTAACATAGTCGGCATCGTCGGTAAGTTAAAAACCTCGATTCTCTAATTTACTTCAATTTCTGGCCGATTCTCTGAATCAATCGAGATTTTTCGAAGATGATTGATTCTGTTAGTTTATTGTTCTGGAACTGTGTATGATAAGTGTTCTTCATGATGCTTTGATTTTGCAGGAAATGTCATTTCGTTTGGTCTTTTTCTCTCGCCGTTGTAAGTACTTCGCCAAATTTAGTTGTTCATACGCTCTTGAACAATACGGATTTTACTTATTCTTTTGATTTGATCGATTTCGTTTATGTATAAATAAGAAAAAGTGTTTTAAGCGAATTTAGTTTTTTAGGCTCTCTAAGAATCTGGATTCTCAAGTAAGAAACGCTTGATTTGCAATTAAAATTTTAAGCAAATTTCGTTCGTATTGATTTTTTGTTGTTATATTTTTATTTATGATTGCTGCTGGTGATGTTAGTTTGATCTCTGCTTTAATGTATGTGTATAAAAAAAAATCTGCAGACCGACGTTTTTCAAAATTTACAAAAGCAAATCAGTTGAGGAGTTCAAGCCAGATCCGTACCTTGCAACTGTGTTGAACTGTATGTGTTGGGTATTCTACGGAATGCCTTTCGTTCATCCTGACAGCACTCTGATCATCACTATTAATGGCATTGGCCTTTTCATAGAGCTATTTTATTTGGCTATATTCTGCCTGTATGCTGATTCCAAAGGACGGGTTCGTAATTACTCTTTCTAACTTCTTCCTAATGTAGATTATTGATTTTAGTAACACAAATCGTAGATCATTGATTAATCCAAAAATTTAAGCTAGATGAATTAAATGCATTAATTTAATTAGCACATAATCACGATATTTTAGATCCAATTCTTTATTCGAGATTGTTTATTTTAGATTAATGAATAATTTAAAAGATTATGCAAAATAGTTAATATAACGCACTTTCTTTTTCTCTTTTTGATTTCATTTCAGAAAAAAGTTAGTATTTGCCTTGTGATTGAGGTTATTTTCGTGGCTGCTGTTGCTGTAATAACTATTGTATTCCTTCATGGAACCAAGCAAAGATCACTGTTGGTTGGAATAATATGTGACGTATTCAACATCATTATGTATGCTTCTCCTCTAACGATCATGGTAAGTTAATTTCATGATATTTCAATTATGCAAATTTAAAGCAAATAATCTTCTTTATATAAGAATATTTTCTTAAAAAATCTTTTTTTATTTAATAGACAAAAGTGATCAAGACGAAGAGTGTCAAGTACATGCCATTTACTCTCTCGTTAGCCAACTTTCTCAATGGTTGTATTTGGACGGCCTATTCTCTAATCAAGTTTGACATCTACGTTCTTGTAAGTACCGTGCATTTCTATTACTTTCATGTAATCTTTATCTTGAAATAATTAAATAACATAATTTATCGGTAACATTCACAAATTACTTTCATATCTACATCTGTAATTGATCAACTGAACTACAATCATTCTTTTTTGTTATAATTCTACTATTGGAAACAAAACGTCACCGGCACCTGTTTCTCCCATTTATTATGATATTTTTTTAAAGCCTATTTGGAAATCTCTAATGCCTACCAATACTTCATAGTTTGAATTTATTTCATTAAATATATATTTATCATAATGGTCGGATGAAAGTCTCACATCCCCTAATTTAGTGAATGATGATAAGTTTATAATTAAATAATACTATCTCCATTAATTAAATAATACTATCTCCATTAGAATGAGGTATTTTGGAGAAGTCCAAACCAAAAGTATGAGAGTTTATGTCCAAAGTAAACCATATCATACTATTATGGAGAGTCATGTTTATCTAACCATTACCATAACTATTATTTGAATTATTTGGATGAAATTTGCAGGTTAGCAATGGTCTTGGAGCAATTTCGGGTTTCCTTCAGCTCCTCCTCTATACATATTACTCTGTATGCCGTCCAAAGGCCGACGAGAATGCTGTGAAAGCCAATGAAGTTCAGCTCTCCAACGCATAAACTGCAAGTCCATCGAGCTAAGTGAGTATACAAAATTTTCACTTCTTTTGTTAAACAATAGTTAAGGTGAATTTGTATTGAAACAGTGAAAAGTACCTATAAATGTTCTTTTTCATAAATATCTCACTAAAATTACTATTTTAAAAAGTTATTTAAAACGGGTTGAATTTACGTCCTTAAATAATGGTGTAAAGAGTACAAGAAAGACAAGTTACTTCTGTCTTACCTAATTTGATCATTCTTTGATCGTTTCATTCTTGCTTTTTGTAGGTCATTTAAAGCGTGGTGTGGTTGCTATCGTAAGGAGGAATGAAGTTGTGCATAGCTAGAACAGTATCGGGATTGTAGTTTTGACTTTTTTGTTGTTTTTTTTTTGGAAGAGAATTATAGATTTTGGTAGGTTGTTGAAAGTTTTTGATTTATGAATTTGTTTCCATTCATTATCCTTCTCTTTACACATCTCCATCTTGAATTTTTAGGGTAGAAATATCTACAAAATAATAATAATAATAATTAAAAAAATTAAAAACATAAAAATAATTAAGTAAATTAAAAAACGAAATTAGATTTTATAACTGAATCGGTTCTATTTTTATCTTATTTGAAATATGGGTAAGATTTTGTAGGCTTTGATTTTTTTTTAATTCATATAATATTATTAATAAGATTAAATTATTAACTTTGATATTAAATTTTCACTATTATTTATTATTATTATTATCTACTTTCTTTAATATATATATATATATATATATATATATATATATATATATATTTAGTATCTTCGAATAATTATATATTCTACCTAATAAAAAAATATGAAATTATTTCAAGATTAAATTATAACATTTTATAGTTACAAATTTTATTTTAAAATAAAATATTAATAATTATTAAGGGTAGGATCATATCAAATTTTTTATTCTTAGAACTAAAAATAACATAATAATTAATACTGAGTTAATAAATATATTACTATATTATAACTAATGATTATCTATGTTAATTATCTGGATTAACAAAATTAGCCACATAAAATGAAAAAAAAAATAATATTTATATGAAAATTAATTAATGACTGAAACTTATTATTAGGATTATTATCTATCTCTTATTGGAATAATAATAATCCGCAGATATTCATATGATTTGAAAACTGGATTCATACGAGAATAACCCAACTCAAATCCTAAAGATTGTGTTGGACTAAATTTTTTCCGGTTTGGATTGGGTTGGTTGATTTGCAGGCTGATATATATTTTTTGATTGAGTTAACCGAACCAACCGGAGAGCAGAGTTACAACTGAACTCTATCCTATCCTACATTACTTTTAGATTATTATGATGATTTAAAAAAAATTAAAAAAAAAATCAACTTAATTCAAGATATTTGGGTTGTGAACTCTATTCAGGTTGCTCGGTTATCAACCCAACTAACTCGAACTTTCAGGTTAGTTCAAAAAATTTATTCAACTCAACCCGAAAAATAGAAGATTGAATGATATTGGATTGGGTTGTGAATTCTATTTGGGTTGCTCGGTCATCAACCCAACCAACCCGAACTTTTAAGTTAACTCAAAAGATTTCTCCAACCCAACTCAATTCGACTCAACCCCGTGTACGCCCTCAAGAAAATCCTTCCCCGTCTCGGCCTCATGAACTTGCATAAATAAACAAAAAAAAAAAAAAAATTGTTAAGTTAATAAAAAAAATATATTTTGTTTTTAAATTGTGTAATTGTGCCCAATCTTATCCACGGAGAGTGAAGAGAAGACCCCACTTCGAACCAAATTTCTCGCACAATCTGTGAATAATACACCAAACAATCGAAAAACCTTATCTCCATCTTCTTCTTCCCTATCTTCGAATCCATTTCAGTCACTCCTTTTCTCTCAACGATTTCCCACAAACAAGATCACAACCCCCTGATGTTATTTCAGTGTTCAAATTGACTCTGTTTAACGTAGCGTTAATGGCGACCATTATCTCCTGTAAGTTCTGTTCGTCTCTTGTTACCTCCAAATCCTCCATACCTACCAGCCATTGTCGCTCCTCGAAGCTCTGGAATGGCGCTTTCTCCAAACGATTCGGCTCCAGATGGTCCTCCTACAATTCAATAAAATGTGAGCTTCAGAATGCGAAGGTGAGATCTGGTTCTTCAGTTGTAATGTTGTTCAATTTGATGGCATCGAGTTTTGTTCTTGCTAATGCTGAAGACTGTTGAACTCTGAGTGAATATGGCGTGGAGATTTTACCGAAATTGATTGGGTTTGTCTTTTGTATGATATTTTGTTGCAAATTTGAACTTCTCTGGGAAGAATTCTGCTTCAAGTCATATGAATTTTGTTTGAATTATGAATTTAGTTGCTTAACTTTGATGATTCGGTGCCAAATTGGCCCAGTTCTTCACCATAAGCATGCTGCATTATCATTTAGTGAAAATGATAAGAACTACTTGGGATCACAGTTTAAAGTTCAAGAACGTAATCATAACGTTTTGAAGTTCAGAAACCACTCTAAGTTAGTTTAATGGTCAACAATGACCAATATAATGAGTTTCGTTGACAACCAAATGTAATAGGATCAGGTAGTTGTCGTACAAGAATTGTCGAGGTGCATGCAAGCTAGACTAGACACTCACGTATGTAAGTGATTAAACGGATGCAAACATTGAAGTTTAATGCTTAAATTTGGAATTTGACTTGTGAATTAAGAAATAAACAACAAATGGTTGAATGAGTCCATATTTTGTTTACCAGAAAAGCAGGCCATTTTGCTTGAAGGAGATTGCAATTTCAACGGCTTTGGCATTTAGTTTAATCACAGGGGTTCCTGCATTAGGCTCCTCTGCAGACGCATATGCAGCTACTGGTCCTGTAATTCCCGACCTGTCCGTGTTGATATCCGGTCCGCCGATAAAGGATCCTGGAGCTTTGTTGAGATATGCTTTGCCTATTAATAATAAAGCTATTAGGGAAGTTCAAAAACCACTTGAAGACATTTCTGAAAGCCTCAAAATTTCTGGAGTCAAGGCACTTGATTCTGTGGAGAGGGTAAGTTATATGATTGATGTGCCTGTTTTTCTGCCTTGAAATAAAAAATGTTTCTAAATGGTTCTTAGACATGTTCGATGTATATCTCCAGAAAATATTTTGAGTTCAATCCTTTGTTTTTTTTTCTCTTTTGTTGCTCTATAGAATGTGAGGCAGGCGTCTCGAACGCTCAAGCAGGGGAAGGATTTGATTGTATCGGGGTTGGCAGAATCGAAGAAGGAACATGGAGTTGAAGTTCTTGGTAAACTGGAAGTTGGATTAGATGAGCTTCAAAAGATTGTGGAAGATAGAGATAGAGAAGCTGTTGCGCCAAAACAAAAGGAGCTTCTTAATTATGTTGGCAGGTGAGTAATGGCCATATTCTCCATGCTGATGGTTGCATTCTTATTATGTTGGTAAGAACTACTTCCCGATTCCCGACAATCTTCGTCCGGGTTCTTCATCTCAACTCAGAGTAGCTTTAAGAAAGCCTTTTGATCCATATGTATGTTCATCCTATCGGTGTTCTGAAGTCGTACAATTAAGAACAACACACCAGTTTAATGTCGAAATTGGGTTAGAAAGGACTAAGAAAAGATAATCGTCCTTAAATTATAATCTCATATATACCCTTGTCATTGACTGCAGCTGAGATCTTCGTGGGGCATTCGGTTTCTGCAGTGTTGAAGAAGATATGGTCGATGGCTTCCCGTATGAAGTGCCTGAGGAATACAGAAATATGCCTCTATTGAAAGGGAGAGCAGCTGTGGATATGAAGGTTAAAGTGAAGGACAATCCGAACGTCGACAACTACATTTTCCATATAGTTTTAGATGGCTATAACGCTCCCGTAAGCTCTGGGAATTTTGTCGACTTGGTCGAACGACACTTCTACGATGGCATGGAAATCCAAAGAGGTATATATATAGAAGACTAGATTTACTTAATGAATATGAATATTATGAGAGATTTCTATACTCTGTTGCACATGTTCTACTTGACATCTTCATATTATAATATGACTTAGCAAGGCCACAAAATTTTTATCGTTTTTGCAGCGGATGGTTTCGTTGTTCAAACTGGTGATCCAGAAGGTCCTGCAGAGGGTTTCATCGATCCTAGTACCGAGAAAACCCGGACCATACCATTAGAAATCATGGTTGATGGGGAGAAAGCACCTTTCTATGGGGAAACTTTGGAAGTAAGGCCTCTTTTTCTTGCAAGATGCATTCAGACTGACTTATTATGAGATTTCACGTCGGTTGGAGAGGAGAACGAAGCATTCTTCATAAGGGTGTGAAAACCTCTCCCTAACCGACGCGTTTTAAATCCGTGAGGCTGACGGCGATATGTAACGGACAAAAGCAAACAATATCTGTTAGGGGTGGATTTGGACTGTTATAAATGTTATCAGAGTCAGATATTGAGTGGTGTGTCATCGAGGACACTAGGCCCTTAAAGGGGGTGGATTGTGAGATCTCACATCGGTTGGAGAGGAGAACGAAACATTCCTCATAAGGGTGTGAAAACCTCTCCCTAACCGACGCGTTTTAAATCCGTGAGGCTGACAACGATACGTAACGGGCAAAAGCAGACAATATCTGCTAGTGGTGTGCCATCGAGGACACTGGACCCCTAAAGGGGGTGGATTATGAGATCTCACATCGGTTGGGGAGGAGAACGAAACATTTCTCATAAGGATGTGGAAACCTCTTCCTTACATATGCGTTTTAAAACTATGAGGCTAAAGGCGATACATAACGAGCCAAAGCGGTCAATATCTGTTTGCAGTGGGTTTGGGCTGTTGCACCTATATATTTAGGCATACCGAAATTATTAGTGATTTATTAGGTATGCAGTATTCATTTCATACAATTTTCATTTAAGCCACCCGAGTCTGCACGAGGCACGAACAAAAACTTTGTCGTAGTGAAGTTTGATTCTCGGCTCGAGTTTTACTTATTAGTTTTATCATGTGTTTCAAACAGGAGCTTGGTCTATACAAGGCTCAAACAAAACTTCCCTTCAATGCATTTGGAACTATGGCCGTGGCTAGAGAGGTGATAATTCTGTCTCTCTTTCTCTCGCCCTTTCTTCACGAGCTGCCAGTTTCATGTTCATTGCTTTCCATGCAGGAATTTGATAACAATTCAGGATCTAGTCAGGTGTTTTGGCTGCTAAAGGAAAGTGAACTTACTCCTAGTAATGCCAATATATTGGATGGTCGATACGCCGTGTTCGGTTACGTCACCGAAAATGAGGATTTTTTGGCGGATCTTAAGGTTGGTGATGTTATAGAGTCGATAAAAGTAGTGTCTGGCCTGGATAACTTG